CTGGGAGTTGAAGTCCACTCATCTTAAAGCGGCCAAGTTTGGACAACACTGCTGTAGCTCAATTCCCTTCCCTAATCTGCTGCTTTCCATACAGTGTATGTTCTAACTACAACTCTCAGCTGAGAACTGCCCAGCATAACTAGAAGGTACCAGATTCAGATTACTCCAGTGGTATCATTCAAAAGGCTTTGCGTAGCAGATTACTTGGGCCCCTTTCAGTTGGGTTTCAGGTACAGTTATCACACTGAGACAGCATTGCTTGCACTTGTTGATGACCTCTAGTGGGCTCTGAATGCAGGTGGTACATGCATCCTTGCCTTCCTTGATCTTTCAGCAGCCTTTGATACATCAGTCAGAGTACTGTTTTGGGTAGGCATAAGGGGGTGGCAGGCAGAGTTTTACAGTGGTTTTCCTTCTTTCTCCAAGTCTGGTTCCAGTCAGTGTTGGCGATGGGGAGAGGATCATCCCTAGGCCCCTGCATTGTGGGGTTCCTGAGGGCTTGACTCTTTTGTCCAACTCTTTCTTCATCTGCATGAAGCTGGATGGATGAGGTCATCTGTCAGCACAGGGATTAAGCGTCGTCAGTAGGCTGATGACAATCAGCTCTACATCACTGCCCTTGTGATGCTGCTGAAGTTCTTTCCCAGTGCCTGGAGGCTGTGGGAGCCTGGATGGGAAGGAAGAGGCTCCAACTCAACCCTAGCAAGACTGAGAGCTGTTGATTTAGAGTCTCTAATTTCTGGAGATGTTCCATCTCTGATTCTGTCTGGGTAGCACTTCCCCAGACAGTACTGGTATGCAATTTGGGATCCTCTTAGATTTGTAGCTCCTGCTTGAGGAGCAGGTGGCAGCTATGACCAGGAGGGCCTTTGCACAAATCCATTTTGTGCTCCAGTTATGCCTGTTCTTGGATCAAGAGTGATACAAAGGTATCAGAGTTAAGGTCTGGGACTGGCACTGGAGAGATTCAGGTTCAAGTCCACCCTGAAGAATAGAGTGGGTGACCTGGGGCCAGTCGGTCTCTTTCTACCCAGTGTATCTCACAGAGTGGTTCTTATGATGAAAAATGATAGGAGGAAGCACTATGTGTGCCTTCTTGAGCTCCTGAACAATTAAAGAAGAGTATCTTCATTGAATCAGGACATAAATCAAACCCCAACATGTTGCTAAGTTGACTGACAAGGTAGATTGTACTGCAATTATCTCAGTGTTCATAGATCTTTTTTCATTTCTCATATACAATTTAGCATTCTTACAGCATTCTTGCCTCCTCCCTTTTCTCTCAATCTGTCTCTGCCTTGAAAACCTGACTTAACACTCTTTAATTGTTCATTAATCATGATCATGTTTCTCCTTTCTACACAAGGGGAATTTTGACTAAAAAAAACTTAGGCATCTCTTTCTAGACCACCCAACTATTGAAAGCTTACTCTTATGCACATTAGTAGGAAAAACTAATCTGTTGCACATTTAAGTACATATACAGTAATTATGGATGGCTCCCAGATGTAGCAAACCAAATGGAGATAAACCCTGCCATCCTAAGCTGTAGTAGCAGAGAAAAAAGAACAGTATCTAGTCATAAAGCTTTACAATCAATTCTGCCATTTAGTATCTGAGTTCATACAACACACTAAGCCAAAGCCAAATAAGCCACATTAAAACTTAGTATCATCTAAGAACACCAGCCATTTTAGCAGCCTTCTCCAGTCTGGCATCTTCCTTCATATTTCTTGGCCATATTGGCTGAAAATTATGGGAGCCAGAATCGAAACACATCTGGATGGCATCAGGATGGAGAATGGTCTATACATTCATTTAATTTGGGGGGAAAGGAGGCATGGAAGAAATGCAAGAATTCTGCTTCAAGGTATATACACTCTCTGGAGAGTAGGACCAAAGGTGATCTTCCTTCCAATACTATCCAATGAAGAATAGTGAGAATACTAATAATAAACCTCATGTCTTAATTGTTGAATCTCTGGTTGAATACTACAAGATACTGAATCAGATTGGTCTGATCCAGCAGGGCTCTCAAAATTTCTCCCCCCTATTTGTCTGAAGTGTCTCCTCCCTGCAATCCGTGTTATAGAAGTGGGGCTGAGCTATCTGGAAGTTGTTTGTACTTCAGAGCAAAGTTAGCAACCTGGTCTCCAAATGTTTGGACTAACTCCCATTAACCACATTTGATGGAGACAGTGGGTTGCCTATGATTTAAAGTCTTGAGGGAATAGTTCCAAGATGATATTCCTGCTAACAACCCACTTCTTGTGCTTGTTTCTACTACCTTTTGAACGTTTAGTACCAGGATACTTTGCATGACCAAAGTCCACACAGGTGCTGGACATAGCAGCAAATAGTTTTATGCTATACATCTCAATATAGGGGATACATCTCCATGCTCCTGGTGATGAACTGCATTTGGTTCATGCTTAGATTCTTTATTCCAATGTGATAGTGGTTATATTGGAGAGAAACAACACTCATCCTAAATTCACCATTAACTCCAGCGAGTACACATTCAGCCATGGGAAACAGCTTGCTAGCATAAATTGAGATAGGCAGAGGATGCCTCCATGATTTTCCAAGACAGTTACAAAAAGACACCTACCGTATTATTAACCAGACCCACTGAGAGGACCCCTCAATGCCTCCTCTACTGATTGCAGTGCACAATTTGGATGGTATTGAAGGAGGTATTCTTTTAAGTATCTGGATCCTAAACCACTTACAACTTTATAAATTAATCTCAATAATCACAAACAACCCATGTGACACGTTTAGGACCAGTGTGATATGGCCCCCTATATCTAACCCCCTTAACAGTTTAGGCAGTTGCAGTCTGCACCAGTTGCAGCTTTTGGACTGTCTTCAAGGTAACTTCACGAAGAGTTCATTGAAGTAATCCAACCTAAAGGTTACCTGGGCATGGAGCACTGACATTAGGCTATCCCAGTCCATGTAGGATAGTAGCTGGCACAATAGCCAAAGCTGGATATGGGTATGCAAGTGCTATCTTTAAACGATTGTACCACCCCATTTTTTTAAGCGAGGGCTTTCCAAGAGCTTAGAAATCAGAAAACGTACCCCCTCCCCTACCTCCAAAAAGCAGAAAATCACCCACTGCCACGAAGCTGGTGTTTCTGGCATTTAGCCTTCAAAGAAAAGGAGCAAAAAATGCTTTAGCCAGCAAGTGATGCCTTTCAAAATCCTCACATGACTGAGGGTCACAAGAAACATACAGAGTTTGACCTCCAGGTCTCACCTCTCCCCCATTCCCTCCCTTTCACTTCCCCATCAGAATGCATTCTTTCTCTGTTGTTCTGGGCTCTGTAACCAATTATAAATAGATCAGAAATATTTTGGCTTGGTGTGATTATTGCCAGGGCACATGCAACAGCATCTATGCTGGCTTTCTCCCCAGCCTGATGTTCGAACACAATGCAGATGCCTCTTCCTCCTGTCCACTCGCTGGACAGGCCAAACGGTGCATCCAATACAGCTTGATCTGGAGATCTAATTTAGGAATTAAAAATGTTATTGACAGACGCCCTTTAAGCCTAACATTTAAATGCAATTGTGCTCAGACACAGAGTAGCAGCCAACCCTGAGAGAGGGCCTCTTCAGAAGGAAAAACAAAATGCAGAGCTATGGACACGCCTAAAGCAGCATTCGGATCCTGGTCATTTAAAAAAAATCTTTGACAGCCAGCAGATCAAGCGTGAGGCTTTTAACTGGAGATCTGGATTCATTCTGACTACTCCCATAGACTCACTTCCTGGGAGCGCAAGCAAGTTACTCCTTGTGACCTGCTGGGAACTGTGGCAGCTTCTATGTTTTGCCATGACAGCAAAAACAATACAAAAAGTTAAAAACTATTTTTATCTTCAATGCTTGTTCAGTAGTAGCGATGTAATCTGCAAATGTCACAAGGATTTATGAAAAACATGTTTCCTCATCAAGGATGAGCATTTAATATGAATAATAATAAATACACAGAAACAATATATTATTATCTGTGCCAACCTTACCCAACTTGATACTTGACAGATGTGTTGGCACAGTACCTGGGTGTTTGTCCCAACAAGTTGAGGACATCTGGTTGTCCGTGGCTAGTCTTTTATATCTGTTTTTAGGCACTAAGTTCCGGCTCTCCAGCTGAAAATGGACTCAGAATACATGACGTATGGAACCATGGAAGTAAGAGACAGAATGCAATTATAAATTTGATCTCCCCCAGTCTTGGCAAATGTGACATTAATCAAGGATCTAATGTATATCTAAAAAAAAAGTCTTTGTCCACCCAAATAAGTGGAAGGTGAATGAGAGAGACCCTTCCCAGCAGGAGACCTACACAAACTAAGATCAGACATGTTTAACTTGAACAGGCTCAACATTTCTTAGCTCTTGGAATACCAAACACCACCTCTCCTCTGAAATCCTGAGAAGACAGGCTTCGTTCACATAACAGTTGATCCTCCTCTAAGCCAATTAGCAGAGTTTAACCGTCCATGTCAGCCTTTCAGTCTTGGACATGCCTCTTTCTGCCTGTCATTTTCCGGCGCTGGGACTTGCTTGTTCGTCCTGCTCTCATCTTTTGGGCTCTGTTCTTTACCCCTTGTTTGTGGCCAATCTGCTTTCTTTTTCCCTTTTTCTGGCTACGAGAATGCAGTGAAGCAGTGAGGGAAGAAATTCTGCAGATGGGAGAAGAAAATAATGATTTTCATGTCTTAGTTTAAAAAATACAAGCTAGCTTCTAGTTCTCAGGCTTATACTTCCCCCTCATCTATGTTTCTTGCTTTCTCCTGTGATGCTTGTCTTTCTCCTCTATTGGGGAGGTTCACAATACAACTCAACTGGTAAAGCTAATAAGTTTTGGGCTAGAAGTTGCCTAGATGGGAGACTTAGGTTTAATCCATGACCTATCCAGGGAATTCAGGCACCAGAAAAGATCTACAAGACTCTCTTGCAAAACAGATGGTCTGAGTTAGATGGCACACCTGATATGACTATGCTGCTGGTTTCCTCCATTGCACTTAAACAGCTTTACCCACAGGATGACTTCCAGACATGCTGGACTTCAACTCCTCAAAGACCTCATTGCATGAGGGAAGACTCCCAGTACAGTATTGTGGCTTGTTTGGTTTGGGTCTCATACACTGTATAATCTAGCTACCGAGGTTTGCAAACTATAGTTTATACTTTGCAATTTATTCAACAAATGATGATTATAAACAAGGTTCAGAGCAATGTATGAGTCCAGCCAGTTTCAGGATCTTTAAATGTTTTAAAGGCAATTCTGAGCTCTAAGGAGGGACTGCAAACAGATAAGAAAAAAATAGTCTCCTTGGACTAATTCTGACTTGAATGTTCCTACTATTTATAGAATTACCAGTCAATTGTCTTCTCTATTTTCTTTTTACATGCACTAAAAAAGCTGCTGTGGATCTGAAATTCTCTCGGCAGATTACAAGAATTAAACAAAATAATACAAAATGTAGAACTATTGAGATAACAAATCATACTGAGAAAAATAAACTTTGCAGCAATAAACCAATTTAGAACTACAGAAAGAACTAGCACAGTAAAATAAAAACCAAAAATCGCCAACATATTTAAAAGGGCTGAAAAACTAACTCATTTACCTAGTGGGAGAAATATATTTACACAGGCAAAGGGGTAGGTATAGGAGTATTTGTATACTTTCTACGGAAGGTATACCATAGCAACAGAACCAGCAATGAGAAGATTCTTCAGTCACATTTCTTCCTAACTCAGCCAGTAATGCCTTTACATAAATAACACTTTCATATCATTCTCTATGCCCACTTCCACCTGAACATGCCATACTTACCTCTATTTTTTTCTTCCTAACATAACTTGATAGCACATGTCAACTCAGAACAAATGCCCTTTAAATTCAGTGGAATTTACTCTCCCTTCAATGTTAGAATAATCTCTAAGCAAACCTTCAGAGAACAGGTCGGACATTCTGAATCGTTTGGTAATTAAATGAAAGTCACACAATTTTAATACCTCTCAGACAGGAGAGGATCTCTAGATTTCTTAGGCAATGTACACGTGTAGCTGTTGACAGCATCTTCTCCTTCCAGTCCAGTATTTTCTCTCTAAAAAGAAAGCATGTGAGCTCATAAAGAACCACCACAACGAAATCTAGTCACGCAACTAGAAACATGATACGATTTTCTAAGCAAAATATTAAAATTTCAGATTAAATATTAACACTTTAGATTAAATAATAGTAGCTATCATTATACCAAGACCAAACACGTAGAACCAAAACGTGGCATACAGAGTCATTTAGCACTGTGGTGATTGGTGTGAACTGTGACCCATAAATCATGGTTCAGAATCTGGCTTCTCGTTGGATTCAGGCAAGCTATTCCCTTCTATAAACTTTGGGAATAACAGCTTAATAGACATTACTTTCATACACAGTACTAAGATCTTGCATATTTGGATGCACAAACACATATACAGTATATGAGAGACATCTGTAGTATAGTGGTTAGAGTGTCAGACTATGACCATGGAGATCACAGGTTTACACCCAGAAAACAATTACCTCACTGAGTGACTCTGGCCAGTCTTGGGCTGTTCTCCCAAGCTTCTTTTGCATAATTTTTTTTGGGTGCCTCTGAGTCAGTGTTGACTCCTGGTGACTGCCTGAACTAGAAATCTAAAATCAAGTTATATCCAAATATAACTCTGGGTGAGATTATCCATTGGCATGCTAATGGTATGCAGGTTTACATCTCCACCCTGGGCCGACCAAGTGACTTCTTCAGGTTCTTCATGTCTGGAGGCCTTGAGGGTACGGATGGGGAAGAACAAGTTTTGGCTTAATCCAAGCAAAACTGAGTGGCTGTGGGTTTTCACTCTTCCCCCACCCCACCCCAAGATTTGGAGATTTTCCACCTTTAGTATGGATGGGGTAGCACTCCCACAGACAGAACTGGCACACAATTTGGGGGTGCTCTTGGATTTGTGAATCCCGCTTGAAGAGCACCTCCCCATTGGACTATTCTAGCACACCATATATGGGTCTGCCCTTGGCCATCCAGAAGCCACAACTGGTCCAAAATGTAGCTGCTTCGGTACTTATGGATGTACCATGGCCATAGTTAATATATAACCACTGCTTTGCAAACAGAACTGGTTGATCAGCTTCTGAGTGCAATTCAAAGTGCTGGCTGTCATCTATAAAGCCCTTTATGGCACAGGGCTGGGTTATTTGAGGAACCACCTATTTTGGATAGCTGCTCATCCCACAGGATTCAACAGAAAGGGCATGCTTCGAGTCCCCTCCAAGAAACAATGCTACCTAAAGGCTCTACAAGGCATACTTTCTATGTTGTGGTGCCCACGCTTTGGAACAGTATATCACCTGAGATCTGGACAGCTCTGACCTTCTGTAAGGGTTTAAAAACTTGATTTTCCCCCCAAGTTAAGATGCTGGATGAGCCTGTCTGGAAAAAAGGTTTAGGATTTTGACATGTTATGTTTTTGTGCCATTTTATATTGCGTGGTTGTGGTTCTATAATTGTTGTTTACCTTGTCTGCTCTTTACTCCTATGTTAGCCAGCCAGAGTTGCATTTGTGAGTTGGGCAGCCATATAAACAATTACATAAAAATAATTTTATTAAATTAACAAGTGAATAAACAAGTGAATAAAAAAATAGATAAATTACCTCATGGGTATTTAGCCCCAGGAAATGAGCTCCAGAAAGGTCCAGGTCGCTGATGGTAGTAACCGTGACTGTATGGTTTGGGTGATCATAGCTCACCGACTCTGTTTGAGATGTCACTAGATGTTCCAACTCATCAGCTTCCTCTGAGGAGATGAAATAAGGTACAACCCTAATTGCTTGTGCAAAGACAGTTTCTTCAATCAACCTGTTAAAGAATGGCATCTATGTTCCAAATGAAAACCTTATGGAAGGAATTCTTTAAGTTTAGACTTTTCAGACATCCTACCATTACATTCTATTTTTATTTCTTTACGTATGTGGGTTGAATGACAATTAATGCCTCCATCTCCAAAACTTTAAATAGGGATATTTTAATAAATGAAACACAAAACTAATCCTTGAGGCAGGCTCTTTTGTTACCTGCATTTACTCTGCCACATAATCATCACCATTTACTACACAATTCTGCCAATGATGGGCAAGCTTCTTAAAATTGTCATAAAAGAATTCCATGCATGTCTCTTCAACCAGGTCCTGCAATTCTTTCCATCTTTTCATTTGAGTCAAATACATACAGAGTGTGTGTGTGTGTGTGTACGTACTGGAGCCTGTCTGGAAAAAAGGTTTAGGGTTTTGACATGTTATGTTTTTGTGCCGTTTTATATTGCGTGGTTGTGATTCTATAATTGTTGTTTACCTTGTCTGCTCTTTGCCCCTATGTTAGCCAGCCAGAGTTGCATTTGTGAGTTGGGGAGCCATATAAACAATTACATACATACATATATATGATTTTATTAAGAATTTTGATTATACAGTAATAGTATAGTATATAAATTAGCACTGAACATCTGTCTCCCTCCCACTGTTTGTGATTAATAGCTGTGGCCTAAAGATAGTCACACTGAGTACTGTACAAAGCAACACCTAGTACAAATGTGCTAAAGATTACAGCTTAAAAAAAACCCTAATTCATTAACAGAGATCAAATGTTTTAAAGCTCACCATGAAGTCATGGTCTGAATCAAGTTTCATATTTATTTACCCTCATTTTAGACAAACTGTGTTGAACAACCTTCTGTTCTTTTCTAAGCTGTCATCTGATACTTTCTGGGATTCCAGGCTAGATCACATCTTCAAATAGGATACCTACCTAAGGCTTCTTCTCTCTCCTTCAACATCTTCATGTATTCCTTATGTCTCTATGAGAGAAGCAACCAAATACACGTTCCAAAAGTTTTCAGAACATCTCCTAACTTGGCCTCATTCAAGTCACCGGTTAAAATTCTGCCACCCAGAACTCATGTACTGTTTCTTCTAGAGCTGTGTGGTAGCGTTTCATATGAACTTACCAAAAATCAGTTTCCTATATAATATTGCACTATCAAAGCCTACAAGGGGGATTTGGAACCTCCCTTAAAATAAGCCAGCTTAAACCACGGTGCCCCAAGCAAAGCTCTTCCCTTTCTCCCACAAAGCCTCTGCCTCAAAATATGAGCCATGCTCTGAGGTGCTCCGTTTTATTTCCAAGCACATATACTTCTGCTGCTTAGTCAGAAGTAAGGTCAGTCAAATTTAGTAATACGCTGGTATTATGCATTTAGAATGGAATCAAAATGGCAAGGGTAAGCTTGCTAAAATAGCAAGCAAATGCAGTTTACAAATTCTCAGCAGTATCAAAGATAAAAGGCAAAAATAAAGGCAGCTTTCTAAAACCATGTTTGGGGGAAAAAACTCATTTTCAGAAGGAAGCAATTCTGCCTTACTCTTGAAGCTGTTGCAGCCTTCCTCTTTCCAGACAGTTCTCAAATGAAATCATACCTCTTCTTTCATCTTCTTTTCTTCCTCCTTCAGTTTGCGCTTTATCTCCTCCACAGCTGCTTTCCTCCTCTCAACCTTACGTTTGTGAAACCCTGTCAAGAACTCCCTGGAAAGAATAAACACAGTAGAGCAGGCAGCACCAGGTCACGGTCACCCTCCTGCCTATGGAATCATTATGCTACGAATAAGTTATCCTGCAGGATCAGTAGGCAAAAACATACAAAACATTTACCCATATTAAGCATAGTCATGCTGTGGGCTAACTTCCAGGTATGGTCTGCCTCCTGCAGTACAGTCCTTAAGAGTCTAATTCATTTGTACAGGAGGAAAAATGGCAGAACAGAATGGACAATCGTAAAGTATGGAAGCTATGATTTTTTTAAGCATCTCAGGGAGTATTACAGGTGGTCCTCGCTTAACGACTGCAATTGGGACCGGCAACTCAGTTGCTAAGCAACACGGTTGTTAAGTGAAACATCACGTGCCTGTGCCGGACTCATGTCAGTTCTGCTGCAGTTGTTAAGTGAATCACCTGTGGTCGTTAAGCATGACATCATGTGACTGCGACTTGTGACTTCCTGCTGGCTTCTCCATTGACTCTGCTTGTTGGAAGCGAGCTGTGAAGCTCACAAATGGCGATCCTGTGACCACAGGATGCTGCGACTGTTGTAAATGTGGGCTAGTTCCGAAGTGCCCGAATGGCAATCACATGACCATGGGGACACTGCAATAGTTGTAAGTGCGAGGACCAGTCATAAAACTACTTTTTCAGCACTGATGTAACTTCAAACCGTTGCTTAACAGGGCAGTTGTTAACTGAGAACCACTTGTAATTCTGAATTTCTAGGGTTTTAGGCAAGTTGCCTTGGGTGATTCTTTTCCTCTAAGTGGGCTAGCTTTCTTGCCAACATAACTGTTGCCCATTACCTGCCACCTTATCTTAGGTCCAGCTTCTCTACATGTTAGAGAGGGCATGACAAGTGGACTTTGTTGTTCCATTTCTCACTTCTCTCTTTGCTTACCTATGGGGGTGGTGGGTGGGAGGACTAAATCAGCAGCTCCAACAGAGCTACCCTATCTGAGCTGAAAAAGTCCATATGCGTTCTAATGGGCAGCACAAAGAAAACTCTAACCCAGCTGCTATCTAAAGGGTGTCTGGATATTTGCAGCTCAGATACAGTCACCCTAAGTAAGAAGGATAAAGAGGCAAAGGCCAGGGAAGTACGCAAGTAACCATTAATGTCAGCCACAAGAGAGAAAGTTGGATCTTGCTCTTTGACTCAAGGCTGGTTAACTATTTTGTGGGTCATTTTTAACACATAACATCCTTTACTTCAGTGTTCCTCAACCTTAGCAACTTTAAGAAATGTGGACTTCAACTCCCAGAATTCCCCAGCCA